TAATTCGAAAGTGTCATCAGTGCCAAGCGGTAGATGGTGGAAAACCACAGCGCCCTAATTATTTGACCCATGCAACCATGCTGCGAGGCAAGTAGCTTCGTTGAGAATCGGGACGGTAGAAGTGATAGGCGAAAGTTGTACAACAACTGTTCACGCTTTGTTGTATTCTCTAAGCCTCCAAATGGGAGTAGATTTTCGCGCAAGAGGTGGCAGTTGTGCCTAAAGTGTGGGAAGAATTGAGGAAAATATTTTTTTACAATAGAGCTCATGATGGTGATTTTGGTGATTATTCGACTTGATTACAGCCGACACAATGGCTTCCACTAAAACAGTACTTTTCTCTTTGTCGTCTTGTAGAGTTTGGAAAGGAGCTAGGCATTTCTGGATCGCTGAAATTTCTCTTGCATCCTCCTGCCTGGTTTGCACAGAACTTGATGCTGCCCATTCCTATCAACTTCAGTGATAGTTTAACAAAAATCAAGAATGAACGAAGGTCCGACCTGGCCCAAAGTTGCCAAGTAATAAAAGCGACGTCCTCCTTAATAGATGACAGAAAATAGGGTCTCGAAAATGTGAAAAATGGAACTCAGCCCATGTAGCAAAGCAGATCCTAAAGCACAGTGAATGTTTCCTCATTCACTGCATTCCTCGGAGACGCGTATTTCTTTGCTCTTTTGGTTCTTATTTTTTCAAGGTCCAGAAACTCTGCAAGCCTCAAAGCGTATATTGGTTATTTGGGTTTATTCCAAGGCTCCGTACTATCAGACAACGCGGTGTGGATGGTGATCCTAGTCACTTTGCCCGAAGCCATCCGGCTATTGTCAGACAGGCAGATCCTACACCACATTTGTATATGCCTTGAATGTTGTCAACTTTGAGCTCCGATATAAGACATTGGTCGACCCGATTTTCGAAACCAGATCATTTTACGCCTTAGGGATTAGGATGAATAAAATTGACATTGCCCACCTATCTTAACCGTTTAGGCCTCAAAGCCGGCTTCGCATGGCCCGCATATTCTCGACAAATAGAAATCGGCTCATCAAAACAAGACTTGCAGATTTTCCAGGCCGAGTACGCAAGTGGCGTATCAATGTCAAATGTTGAATTAAAGGGAATTCTAGTTCAGGAGAAGATAAGAAATGACCGCCGGGCAGTAAAAAAAGGAAAAAGCGAACAGAACCATAACTTACTCCGGTACTGAGCAAAAATGGCTCCGATTTTGGTAGATGATAAAATCTTGAGATGATCAGACCCGTAAATCATTCGCAATACAATACAAACGACGATGACAGTTGTCATTCCTTTAAATTTGTTTTAAAAGGCAAGTGGATGGGATTCGCAAATTGGTCTCACCAGGTACCAAAGGGAGGTTGCCTTGGACTTGTGACTATCAGATTGTGCGAAGAAGACCTCAGTTCATCGTCCTGCAACCACAATGACTCTCTGCTGAGATTTATCCGTCATATGACGGACATGGCCACAGCCATAGATCATGTATCTAGGACAAATCACCAAAAACACTTAACCCAAAAAGTGGTCGATGGAATGCCTCATTAAGCTCGCTAGTGAGGTATAAGAAATAGGCAGAATTTCAACCGGCCAACCATCCTGGTTTAGTATTTTTGATGATAGTTCACAAATACTGGTTTCTGGCTCTGAGGATGATGACGGAGGGAAGCTGAGCTCGGATGGATCGGGGTCGCAGGACGATGTGTCGAGGTCTCCTTCGAACAATCCAGCAATCACAAGTCCAAGGCAGCCCTCATTCTATATCCGATTTATGAGTTTCTTCCACCCATCTTTTCCAACGAAATGAATGACATGCCAGCATAAATCTACCAAGGGATTTCCCGAAATCCAGTTTTTCTTCATATGTGTGTGTGTGTGTGCACGTTAGCGTTAGTAGGCAACACCGGTCCTTAATTAGAGTGATTCCAAAAGCCTAATGTCAGGCTTGGGTCAATGAGGCTTACTGACCCAAGAAAAGACCCTGACCGAGATTGCATACATCCGTAAGCAAGTCTGGCTGAGGCAATGATAAATAAGCTTGTAAGCGTGTAAGCCAGGTCATGTCTAGCGTGGCTGATGAGTTTAAGCGGAATGTTGAATGGGTAAGGGTGAGGTTAGAACCATCACCGTCGTTTCAACTTTGCCATTTTGCTTGTATTTTCACTTGCCTACGAACGTAGTGGATGAAGACTGTCTAGTGGTCAGCCTCGCCACTCTTCCGAAATGTAGCGCTTACATTGCGTTCATATATTGTGGGCAAACGTATATTTGCTATAATAATCGACTACGTTAATTATTTTTCGTATGCTAATAGAGTTTCGAGACTACCAGTAAATCAGTAATATGAGATAGCATTGTAAGAATATTCTACCCCCAGTCCTTAATCACCTTAAACGAAATAGAGTGAATACATCTCATATTACTGATTTAATGGTGGTCTCGAAACTCTACTCACATACGAAAAATAAATTATG